TCGGGGTGTGTGTGTCTCTCTCACATCGATGTTTCTCTCCTCCCTCCCTCCCTCCCTTCCACCATCTCTAAAAATCAATGGGAAAATATCCTCGTGCTTAAAATAATTAAAATAAAATAAACTGAGCAAATTGCCACTGATATAGTTCTGAACCGAGTGACACCTTCCTCAAGGTGGAGTTGGGTCCCAGTGGCTCTGGCCCAGGAGAGGCTGGTACAAGCTGTATGACACAGTTCTTGTTTTCAGAGCCCGAAATGCAGCTGCATCTTGCACAACATGGGGTTCCCCTTGGCAGGAAGGGCAGTGACTGTGGGCACCGGGCCGCGCAGGGCACTGACACCGCTGGAATGGCTTGTTTACAGCTCCCACTGACTCAGCTCAGAGGCAGTGCTCCGAGGGAGCCCCGCCCGCCATGCTCCCTGTGTCCCCCCAAACTTCTGCCCTGCGTCAGGCCCCTGCCAGACAGGCCCTGGACCCACAGCCTCATAGAGCCCGGCTTGCAGGGCTGAGGAGATGAAGAGATGGAGGACCTGGCCTGCCCTAGGCCTGCCCCTGGAGCCTGCGTTGGCTCCCCTGTATATCAGGGGCAAGAAGGGGACCCCTTTAGGGACTGGGACCCTCCATCAGCACTGGCCAGGTGGCAGCTGGGACCTCATCTCCTGCTGAGAGGACCCCAAGGGCTGGGAGGCTCCTTCTCGGCCCCCTAGCCCCACCCTGACCCCCAGCCCCACCCTGTCCGCTGTCACCTCCTGGGGGCGAGAGGGCCTGCCATGGCCTCCCGCGCCCTCTCCTTCAAGGTGGCTGGGGTTTTGAGTGTGGAAGGTGAGGGTGAAGAGCCAGGACAGGGACCTGCAGCGAGAGCCAGGCCTGGACACCGCGGGTCAGCCGGGCGTGAGTGGATGCGGTGCCCTGGGGTGCACGAGGACACCCTGGGGCCCCCACCCTGAGTGGGAGATGCCTGCCAGTCTCTGGTACAGAGCTGTTCCCTCACCCTTACCCCATCTGTCCGTCTTCTGCCTGGCATTTATGTCTGTCGATCGTTCACCTATCATCTATCACTTATGTATCCACTTCTCTTTCCTCTGTTGATCAAGTATTCAATTATCTTCCCGTATCTATCCATCTTTCACCTACCAATCAGTTACTCTATCATCTCTTGGTCCATTCATCCATCATCGTCCAACTTTTACAGAAAGAAGGCTAAGCATACAGTCCCCTGCTCTGTCCCCTCAGAACCCGACTCAGGCTCCACGTGCGGCTCCCTCCCCACCCGACCACTCCAGGCTCCCCCAAGGCCAGTGCAGGCCACAGGCAGGGCTCGCCCTCCTCAAGGCTCCCCCGTGAGCCCTCCCCACCCCCCTTCTCTCTGGTGTCCCTCCAGGACACCCCACACACGTGTGCATCTCTTGCTCCTTAGACCCTCACTCATTCTTGGGGTCTCTCATGTCCCCTGGGAGGACAGCTGAGCTGCAGGGTGGCGCACGGGAGAGGTGGGAGGAGTGGAGTGTGAGGGTCCAGGAGGAGCCCTGAGAGTTGGCTCTGCTCCACCCCCCTCTCTGGGCCTCAGCACACATGGATGAGTGAGAATGCTGTAGACACATACTGAAGACCTACTGTGTGCCGGACACAGTCCATGGGTGGGGGCACCCGTGGGGAGACCCGGGCCGACCAAGGTCCCATAAGTAGAAGCACAGGCATGAATGGGAAATATCACCCCTCTCTGGCAGAACTCCTCCGCGTGGGGAGACTGGTGAGCAGGATGGGTTACAGCCTGGTCTTAAGCCGGCATGGCGAGGGTGGGCGGGGCTCAGACAGTGGCCAGGGGGACAGGGTGGCCAGTGAGTCCAGCCCACAGCTCTAAAGGCCGAGTAAACCCCATGGCCCCCTGTGATAGTGACAAGTAGAGGGTCAAAGGCCTGGGGAGGACTGCAGGGCTGGAACTGTCCCCAGGAGGTGGCGGCACGTTCCAAGGCCCAAGACGGGGGCATGTCTGGAGTGAGGGTCAGGGCTGGAGTGGCTGTTGAGGTTTGAGCCGGGAGCTAGTGTGTTGGGAGGTGGAGGCCATCATTGCCTGGTGGGCACCTTGGGATGGGGCTGTCCCCAATGCCCCCAGCACCCATGCAGGCCAGCCTGGCTGGGTGGCCCGGCCCCCCATCTGGGGCTGCCCCCAGCTGCGTCCGCACAGACTTCCGGTCCTGGCCGAAGAAGGAACCAAGCCATGTGCTGGCCACATTGGAGGCACTGCCACCGCTCCCCGTGGCTGCGGGCCACAGGCCACGCAGGACAAGGTGCAGGTGGTGTTTGCCTGGACACTGGGGTGGCCAGGAGCAGGGCTGAGGGGCTGCACAGGGCACATCATCGGCTGGCACAGGGCCAGGTGGGGGGGACAGTCCACAGCTGGGAGCCTGAGAGGGGAAGGTAAGATGAGACCCTCTGCCCACCCAGCCACTGTCCACTCTGCCCACATGCTTTTCCTGGACCTCATCCACAGGGGCCTCCTGTAGAAACCCTCTCCACGGGACCCCAGGCCCCCCAAGCAGGGCCGCCCGGCTCGACCTGGGTCCCAGCACTTTCAGAACCTGCTTCAGCACTTCCCGTGCTCAGGCCGGATGTCTCGCCCACAGGCACTTCTGTTTATCCATCCCGTGGTGCCAAGCTGACCTTCTCGCCCCACAGACCAGATGGCAGGGTCACCTGACCATCTTAAGGGACCTGGGTGGGTGTGGGGAGAGGAGTGAAGACGACAGGGGTTCCCTGGGATCCCAGGCCCCCGAGGGTCCCAGCTGAGGCCAGGCCCCTACCAGGAGATGGGGGGAGCAGGGGTCCCGGTGGAGGAGATAAAGGGCAGAGTGAGGGCTCAGGTCCTGGCGGCCTTGGGGTGAATGGAAGGAGCTGGGGGTTCCAGCCAGGTGAAGTGAGAGCCCTCGAGACAGGCCAGACCCCAGAGAGCACCGGGCCCTTGTTGGGGGCTCTCAGCCCACCTGGGGCAGCCCCGCTCCCCTTGCTCTCCTGACAGGAGGGCAGTCACGATGGAGAGTGGGGGGAAGACGGTGAGCCCTGGGACTTGGCCTGGGCCGGTCAGGGGACCAGGCAGAGTGCCCAGGAGGAGGCCCCGGCAGCTGCCTGCCACTCTTCCCCCAACGCGAGAAGGCTCCAGTCTAGGCTTCTGACCCCAAATGCCCCCAGAGTTGATGTGGGGACCAGCCACACCTCCCCAACCCTGACACAGGCACCCCAGGCCGTCGCCTTACAAACGCGCCACGGGCCCTGGGCCTGAGAAGTGCCAGGGAGCCCTGAGCCGGGCAGGGCAGGTGGGTCCCTCTGCTGTGAACAGCAGCCTGTGCAGGGCCTGGCCGGCCCGCGGGCTGCAGTGCCGACAGTGTGCCGCCAGCCGACAGGGGCAGGAAGGCCGGGAGCCCACTCTGGGAGGTTGCAACTGAAGCGTCTTTTATTTTTTTTAATTCTCGCCAGAGGATACATTTATTGATTTCAGAGAGAGGGGGAGAGAGAGAGAGAGAGAGAGAGAGAGAGAGAACACATCAGTTGCTTCCCGTACTCGCCCCAACCGGGGATTGAATCTGCAACCGGGCAGGTGCCCTGACCGAATCCAGCTGCAACCTCGGCGTATCGGGACCGCGCTCCGGCCACCGAGCCATGGGCGGCTGCAGGATGCTGTGGAGTCGGCACAGGGTGCGCTTCACTCACGGGGCCCCGCCAGATGGGGCGCACCGGGGAGGCTCCCAACAGAGCGGACGATGACCACAGTGACCGGGCCACGGTCTTGGGCCTGGGCTACGGGAGCTCTTCGACCCATTCTGTGAAAAGAAGACCCTGGGGCACTGGAGACCCGAGACTCTGGTCTCCACCAGGAAACCTGCCTGGAGATGCCAGGCGCCAAGGAGCCGCCAAGCTCCCGGCCTGGAGAAGGCACGTGAGGCATGAACCAGGCGTGGCTGCCTGGCAGAGAGGCCAGCACAGGCCGCCGGGCCAGGAGGGAGCTGTGCTGGAAGCCGCACGGGAGGAGCAATCATTTTATTGGTCGTTTGTGCTTAGAGAAGCGGGGCTGAGGGAGCTGGGCATACGGTGGGCCCGGGGAAGCTGCTGGTCCAGGCTCTGGCAGGAAGGGCAGGGGCCACGAGCCCCCAGCGGTGTGTTGGCTGAGGGGGCATCTCTTTGTCCTTCTGGAAATGTCCCGAGACTAAGGCTAGCCCTGGCCCCTGGGGCCTGCTGCGTGTCTGTCCACTTGGCCCTCCTTGGGGGTCCAGTTCCGCCTCTGGCCTCGCTGTCCCTGCTTCAGGGGGAGGAGCCACGGATGGAGCAGGACTCACTGGTGAGTGTCCTCCAGCCCAGTCCTGGCTCTGGCGTTCGCAGGGGTGCAGCGCCCAGGCCGGGGCCCGCGGCCGAGGCAGCTCCTGGGGTCTGTGAGGCTGTGGTGGCACAGGCCGGGCATCTGCAAAGGGGAGCAGAGCGGTGAGGGCTGCCGGACCAGCGGCCCCGGGCTATCCTGTGACCCTGCCTTAGTGGTGTCCATGGTGTCGGGGCCACTCCGACTCCAGAAAGGCCCCATTCTGACCTGGGCAAGCCTCAGTTTCCCCTCCGGAGTCACTGAGGGCTGGAGGGCTGGCCCCAGCACACTGACAGGGACCCGGGGAACAGGGCCGGGAGGAGCCCCAGGCTTCGGGAGAGTCAGGGTCATGCTTGAGGACACACTGGGCCATTCATCCCTGGCCTGGTCATCATGCCACGAATAGGGAGCACACTGGCGTCCAGGTGCTCTGTGGGGTTCCCACGCTGCCATGGGCATCCCGCTGGCAAGGACAGGGCTGCGTGTGGGTGGGAACGCTCCGCTGCAGGCATCGCCCACGAGGCCGGGCAGAGGCCGACGCGGTGGGCCCAGCTCACGGTCAGTG